TCATTCACATTCCATCTCTATTTTTCTGTACTTTTCACTATCTTTTCTAGAGGGGTCAACCTCCTTTTATAGAGAATAAATTTATTTTGTAACTCTCACATTCATGGTCTATAGGAGTTGAGATCCAAGTGTAACTCCTGCCTTAATTCCCTTAAGTGCAGCTAATTAGGATTAACAAGTTGTCACCAAACTGGTAATCTTATGTAATGAGCTAAACCTGTCATTAGTCCACTAATGAGACACGTAATAGGATGTCATCCAAGCATTCTCATAATTTTATAAAAGATATCATAAATTAAATAAACTTTGCATATCTATAATATAAAAACAAATTCTTACAAAGAATCCAATTCCAAACACGCCACTGGGTTTTCCCTCCAGTGACACTAGGTTTTCCCTCCAGTGCAACATCCTATTAAAGCTAAAAAATGGATCCAAGTATATGACATGACCTCATGTTAACCACATGGGATTTCACATATACTTCAATATGGCTTTTGCACAATTATTGAAAAAAAAAAAAAATTCGAGAGAAAAGGGCTTGATATGCCACATTTCCAACGACTCCTACTTGGCCTGAAGGCTCTTTGACTTCTTATACATGGCATTGCCTCATGCTTTCCAAATGGGATTTTCATATACCCAGCCAGTGTAGTCAAACACCACACTTAGATTTTCTGGCCTCCATAGCCATATATATGGCATTGCCCCATGCAATTTGGTTGGGATTTCACATATACCCTGCTAATGTGGTCAAACACCACACTTAGATTTCCTGGCCTCAACAACCTTGTATATGATACTGCCTCAAGCTACTTGCATAGGATTTCACATATACTTTGCCAATGTGGTCATCCGCCACACTTAGATTTTCTGGCCTCAACAACTTTGTATATGACATTGCCTCACGCTACTTGCATGGGATTTCACATATACCCTGCTAAAGTGATCATACACCATACTTGGATTTCCTGGCTTCAACAACCTTGTATACGGCATTGCCTCATGCTATTTGCATGGGATTTCACATATACCAGGCCAATGTGGTCTTATACCACACTTAGATTTTCTGGCCTCAACAACCTTGTATATAGCATTACCTCACGGTACTTGCATAGGATTTCACATATACCCTACCAGAGTGGACATACACCACACTTGGATTTTCTCGCCTCAACAACTTTGTATATGGCATTGCCTCATGCTACTTGCATGAGATTTCACATATACCCCACCAAAGTAGTCATACACCACACTTGGATTTCATAGCCTCAACAACTTTGTATATGGCATTGCCTCATGCTACTTGCATGGGATTTCATATATACCCTGCCAATACGGTCATACACCACATTTGGATTTCTTGCATCAATAGTTTTGTATATGGCATTGCCTCATGCTACCTGCATGGGATTTCTCATATACCTTACCAATTATTCACCAACACGTTGGATTTTATTTACATCTATCTTTTAGCCAAGAGAAAAAAAAAGGCCCATTGCTTCCGCATGTTTCTCAAACATGTCATCCACCACTGGTCTTTAAGTCCAAAGCACAGATTCGAATCATAGGTCAAAATAATAAGAACAATAATAATTTGACAAAGCTTTAGGTGGTGGAGGTTTGAGTCCTCTTCAAGGCATTGAGAATGCTCATTGAATGAGCAATTCCATGACTTTCTTAATGTGCATTGATCACCATCGAGATAACAAATTCAATTCTAATTTGGTAATGATGATTTACTCCCACTATCCAATGAATAGCTATCAATAATACGATAATTCAATCTAACATGATACATCATTAAAGATTTTTAATGTAATGTGGATATACACAGAGCACTATAAGGTGCCAATGATTACTACATCTCAATGAAAAATAATAGCTTAGCATCGCATCCTCATGGGTACAAATTTAGTTTCTAAATATAAAGAAGAATAGTAAGCAAAATAAATAAAAATAAGTCGCAACTAGGTTAAAAATAACGAACAACATGATTAATTCAAAAAAAATATCCTTACACAACATGGCCAATAGGCTTACACTTTCCGAGGATATTGTAATGCATAATCTTGTAAAAAAATAAGGGAGGAAAAATATATTATCACAAATATACATATATTGTTGAACTTGGAATATTCATAAACATTGATCACCATGAAATATTTCAAATCAAGAATTTCTTTACATAAATAGTCGTCTTGTCACAATATGTATAATTGCTAGAGGGGTATATTAGAAATAAAAAAGTAAATAGTGAACACCAAATTTCTCTTTCGTACATAGCAAATGTGAGAGTATATCTCTCTTTTCCTCTCCATATATTTTCATACAAATGATTAGATGAATGAATATTGAGCTTTGCCTAAAATTACGCAAGCTGCCTTTTGTGCATTAAGAGGTTTAGCTAAAATATAAAATAATGTCTTACAGTATTAACATCAACACAACTTTTCGATGATGTCTATGGTCATGGACATGGGGATGATGGTGTGCATGTGGTTCATAGACCATGGTGTAAATGACAAGCTAATGAATGCGTCCTTCATCTTTATTGAAGAGAGCGACTTACTTATCTTTAGGTAGAGAGAGAAACTTAAATTTTGAAAAAGAGAGAGACTTATGTTTTGAAATAGGACACTGATTTGCATTGGTTTCATGCTATTAAGATAAAATAGAATGTGAATAAATTTCTAATTTAAGGCAATAAAAAATTTACCATAAAATATTTGTAATTAAATCCTTCCAAATACTTTTAATATTCAAAGTGCATTGATTTCATGCTATTTAGATAAAATAGAATGCGAACAAATTTCTAATTTAAGGCAATAAAGAACTTACCATAAAAGCTTTGTAATTGAAACCTTCCAAATACTTTTCACATTCAAAGTGCATTGA